AAAAAAAAAAAAAAAAAAAAAAAAAAAAAAAAAAAAAAAAAAAAAAAAAAAACAGGAGCGGGGTGGGGGGGAGGTCAAGGTGACCAATGCAAAGCCATTCACACACTGAACCCGCGTGTGGCCAGGGCCCAGGACCCAGGGGCTCTGACTGTGCACAGGGGGCTCTACTAGTAGTAACTTGTAAGTACCAGGACGGAACAGGGGATTCTCTCTATCTCAATCATTGCATTGAGGTTCTTTGATCGCGTGGTGTGTGCTACCGTACTTACTGTACTGTGTAGAGTGTGCTTTGCTCGTAAATGACATGACATTGCGATTTGTCACTATCTGTTTCATTCGTAGCCTGAATTGGGGATCCACCCACCAGGCGCCCGCTGCCCATGGGATGCTGACGCCCATCGGTGCAGCTCCTTGGGCGCCGGAACGGTAGCGGGTAGCTCCCCTAAGGCTTCCGTTGTATGGAGGCCATGGGGGGAGAGTCCCCTGAGACGACTCCGGGAGGGGACGGGCTCAGTGGGAACGCGTCGCAGAAGGAGTGCATGGTTCGCCCCTTCCTAGCAGGAGAAGTCACGCTAGCGGCTATCCCCTCCGAGTCAGCAGACTCAGGACCCCGCTGTGGTGCTGCAAGGTCTCCCGGCTGGGTGCCTCCGGGATACAGGACCCCGGCATACAGCTCCAGGTAGCACGGGTCCCAGGGCAAAACGCCCAGGTCCGTCTTGTCGAGGTTGTGTGTTCATCCTTGAAACGCCCAGGTCCGTGTGGTTGAGGTTGTGTGCTCATCCTTGAGAGAACTGTGCGTGTGGGTGGTTCCGCCTGGCCGTCAAGTTGGCTGGACCTGGTGTGTGCGGCCTCCTCCTGCCCGCTCTCCTCCCTTCGTAGTAAGCCCCCGACACCCCTACACCCTTTTAAAAAAAAGCAAGGAGAAACTACGCGGGAGTCACAAAAATAAATGAGTTATAACTGCACTACTGGCCAAGATGAAGTTTCAAATAATTGCAGTTCGGGCAATGTATACAGCCCAGCTTTCTGGCCAGGTAGTAGGGTGCCTGAACTGCAAATATGGCAAACTGTATCTTGCCCCATACTGCAATTATAACCCCCTTTTTTGTTGTGACTCTACTGAAGTTACCCCTTCTATATTTATTTCAATAAAAATAGAAAAGAAGAAGAAGAAGAAGAAGAAGAAGAAGAAGAAGAAGAAGACGAAGAAGAAGAAGAAGAAAAGAGGAGGAAGTTAATAAAGATGGCTCCTTCCTCGTTGTTGAGGTCGGATGCCTGTACATAAGCAAGCACTTATCCGGAGAAACTGAATAGAACGAGAAAAAAAAAAAAAAAAAAAAAAAAAAAACTTTCACCTTTTCCGTTCTTCTCTGTTTTGTTGAGTCATTGCAATCCGTCCACTTGGGACATAGTACAAACACCAGCAAAATGCCCGCAAAATGCCAGCTTTAGCTTGGAATGATGACAATCATGACATTGTAATGAACCCGACACGAAACGAAAAACGAAACGAGTGCATCTTCCTGCAGACAAGGCCACGTTCATCGGTTTGCTATAAATGGTACTAACGAGTGTAACTTGCCACCTTTCGTGGGCAGATGCATTCGTTTCGTTTTCGTTTCGTGTGCCTTGCGGCGAGACCCAGTATCTCGTTATTACCATTAAAGAAGAGAATGGAGGGGGAACAGACAGAGGAGAACTTCAAGATGAAAGAACACACAATAATCCCTTCAGACCCCTCTCCTTCTCGGGGCTTCTTCCCTCTCCACATCAACATCCACTAAATGATATTAACAAGTATATGAAGTTAAAAAAAAAAAAAAAAAAAAAAAGTATAGTAACCTGATCACACAAAATAGTGCCACGTGGCACTTGATCTCGTGACGACCATGAAGACATAGCAGATTCCAGTGACGACCATGAAGACATAGCAGATTCCAGTGACGAAGTCAACTTCAGGTGAGTACCCAAACCCAATCTACCACAGATCCCGGTCTTCCTCCTCCTCGCAATCAGTCACCTCATGCAGACATCGTGGACAATGCCACGTCAGCAGTCAAGACAGGTGGCATACGCCACATCATCAATGAAGACCAGCGGCATGCGCCACGTGAGCAATGTCGCCTAGTGGCAGGCGCTGCATCATCATGCAATGTAGACCAGACTCACCAGAGGCAGTGCCACATCAGCATGCAATGTAGACCAGAGGCAGCGCCACATGGACCAGAGGCAGCACCGCATCAGGATGCAATGTAGACCAGCAGCGCCTCATCAGCATGCCTGGCGCTCAATACCGAATGCGCCAGCATATCGCCACAATCCCTGTTCAACCTGTTGTCATCCGCAATGCTTGCATACAGCCAGCATCGACTCCCGTCGAGCCAGCTCCTTGCCAGCGTAGTCGAAGTCAAGCCAGCGTCGAGCCAGCGTCAATGCCAGTGTCCAGTCAAAGTCAAGCCAGCGCTCAAGCAGCACAGCAAGACTGAATGTTAACCACCTCGAGACCAGTCTTTAAGTAGCATTTGATGAGGCTCTCTGACGTCGGGTCCCCTCCTCTCAGTCGTACAGATCGACTCACAGCCGAGGGCCTGGATTGTATACAGTTGCAGATTTTCCCTTGGTCCTGATGCTGTCTGGGTACCTGCATACAAACAAATGTGTGTATCTGACCGGCGGCCTGGGCTGGGTACATTTTGACTTTGACTGTTGGGGTTTCAGACACTTGACTTTAAAATTGTCCACTTTAAATTTTCAACTGTACCTCGTCCAGGCCCTG